ATGAATGTTTCTTATTTCTTGCAAATTTAAAAATATACAAATTATNAAAAATTATTTTAGTATCATAAAGTTATTGAATGGCATTGACAACAAGAAGTATCAACTTAACAAATAAATTAATAGAATTAGGATTGAAAATATTTTCATTTCATTGTATTGGATAAAAAGTACTTACAACGTGAATTTTAGTGAAACCGAATAGAAAGAATTGAAACAGCAAGATAAATTGTGGAAAAAAAATCTGCTGACAGTTGGAATCGATCCCAAGACTCTAACACGATCCGAGAAACGGCATAAGCCTTAATCACCTTAGTCATCGTAACCTTGAATATGATGAATGTTGAAGTCACATGTGTTCATTGATAAACACCAGAGCTTGTACTACAGTTACATAGCAACTATAATGAGAAAAAATAATAAACTGGTGGTTACAGTTTAACAGTCATCCTTAAAAAAAGCGTAAGGTAAATGTATTTTTTTTTAAATATCACAAAAAAATGAAATAAAAAAAGATGCTTACATAAAAAAAGGAATAAAATAAAGGAAATAAGAAAAACTGAGAAAAAAATTAAAGAAATAAACCAGGGGGTATAATATGGGTCATAGCACCCACGGTAAAAACGAAGTTCTATAAACATAAGATGAATTCCGAAAAATAATTAAACGTGAGATGTGTGTCAGAAAACATCATAAAATAAAGAAACAAAATATTTCAGATAACAAGGGGTTTGCTAGACCCATAGGAAGAAGAAAGCTCTATAAGAATGAGTACTGCAATAATTTTACTTTTTTTTCTTTCATTTTTTTTAATTTTATATCTTTTTTTTTTCATTTCCTTTTTACTTATTTTCTTTTTTTTTTTTTTCATTTTATTTCCTTTTTTAATGTCTTTTTTGACTTCATTCCCTTTTTTCAATTACAATTTTTAAATACTTTTTATATTATTTTGTCCATTCATATCAGTATTTCGATTTCGATTTTGAAGATCTTGAACCCATTTCAACTGAATTTAAAGGCCCGAGACAATAAGCTATTCATGTAGTTATTCCTTACACGTGCACACTAAACATAAAAATGTACTATGCACCTACAGAAAATCACTATCACAAAATATTAACTCTTAAGTCATTGACACGTTGCAACACGAGGAAAATTAACCTCAAAATTAAATACACGTGCTTTTTACGTAGCACTCAAAATCAATTCTCCTTACAAAGACGACTGTCAGATAGGGGAGAATGTCTTAAGACGCCTGTTGCTGTTGTAGTTCATAATTGATGACAGCCGGCGCCACCATGTGAGAGTCAAAAAAATCTTCAAGCGGTCATTCAAAAGTTATCTAAATTCTATTTGACATAGAGTTTCATACATATAAAAAGAAATTTTTGATATTTATATCAATTAACATTTTGCCCTAAATTGCTTATCAAATTTGAAATAAGCACCTTTAAAAATCATTAAAATTATATGTAACTATAAACATATTTAACAAAATTATTTACATAATTATTTAATGATTTTTTGCTATTATTTGCTTATCAACATGGAAGTCAGCACCCTCAAAAACCATTAAAGTCATATGCAACTTGATATATATATATATTGTTCATAATGTATTGATTAATTTGATAAATTAATTATACGATTATCCAACATTTTGACATAATTTGTTTATCAAATTTGATATAAGTGGCCTTAAAATCCATTAAAACGATGTGTAACGTGGAATATATATATTATGATCCTACCCAATTTATTTTCAATTAATTAATTATTAGTATGATTATTAAACATTTTAACATAATTTGCTTATGAAGTTCACAATAAGCACCCTCAAAAGCCATCAAAATAAGATGTCACTCGATATATACATATAAAATGATTTAACATTATTGATTGATGAATTTGTTAAAATATTTATATAATTATTCAACATTTTTACATAAATTTATATTTGACATAAATAACGATATGCAACTGGATGTATGCATGTATAATTCTCTTACATAATTTATTTATTATTTATTTAATAAATTATTATATTCCTATAATAATGAGACATAACAAGCAACAACATAATTTGTTCATCCAATTCGAAATAAGCGCCCTTGAAAACTGTTGATACGCTCTGCAACTCTGTTGTATGTGTTTATATTCACTCGCTTACATCTCGGTACAATCCACGAGAAATTCGTTTTAAAAATTGCATTTTTCGAGAGCAATGCACATCATTACTGATAACGAGTTAAGACTCTTGGTAAGAAGTGATTTTTTGCTTTCTGAGTAAAAAACTTCTTTAAATCGATGGTCAGTTGAGCCCTTTACTGTTGAACGACTAGACAAAGTATCCCCACCATGATTATTCTACTACTCTTATCGTCAGATATATACACAAAGTTACATTGCATGGAGGTCCTGAATTGATATTAACCACTTTGAAAGCTGGCTTTTGGATTATAAATGATAGGAAATGTATTAGCAGCTTGACCAGGCACTCGGCCGTGTGAAAAAATAAATAAAAATGCGTATGCATTTAATTATGTAGTGATCTGTATGAGGTTAGTATGAGAAATTGTGTAGAAGACAATAAATGTTACAATAGGTATATCTCTCCAACGGTTATAGGTAACTTAAAAATTTAATACGTCCAATAGGTATACAAGCAAATATTGATATACCTTACATCATTGTATCAAGATGCACATATATATGGATGGCGGCACTTTTTATACAAGCACTTTTTATATTATCCACAAATGCCCTTTCTCAATATCTAATATACTAAAGATTCATAAAACTAAACTATATAATCTATTTTTCAAGAAATTTTCTTAACAAATCAATAAGTATGAGAAAAATATCCTTTCCGGCTGCGGATTGAACACACAACCCCCTGTTTACGAGACCGATGCTCTACCACTTGAGCTACCGAGGAGCCGTAAACTTACTTGCACTGTATGTGTCAATAAGTTCTCATTCTCAATTTTAAAAGTTGTCTTTCAGCTAGGCTAGATATAGTAGGTATATGACTCTAATGATTATAGGTAAGTTGGGAATTTACTACAGCCAACATATATAAGCAAATATTGATATATCTTTTATCATTGTACCAAGAGGTGCATATGTATATACGGCAGCACTTTTTATGTAAGCATTCTTTATATCATCTGTACATGCCCGTTCGTAAGCTCTAATATACTAAAGATTCATAATACTACACCGCATGATCTCTTTTTCAAGAAATTTTCTTAAGAAATTTTCTTAAGAAATAAATAAAAACTAGAAAAATATTCTCCCCGGATCCAAATTAAACACACAACCTCCTGTTCACTACGCAGTTGCTCTACCAATTGAGCTACCGAGGAGCCGTACATTCACCTGCACCGTAAGTTATTATATTATAATACCTATTGGACATACTAAATTTTTCACTTACCTATAAGCGTGAGAATCGTTTATTTATTATATCAAGCTTAGGTGAAAAACAACTTTAAAAATTCCAAATAAGAACTTATCTTAACTTATGGTGCGAGATATGTATGGCTCCTCAGTAGCTCAGTGGTAAAGGAACTGTCTAGAAAACAGAAGGTTGTGTGTTCGATCTGCACCTGGAGAGAATTTTTTGCTTATTCTTATTTATTTCTTTAAAAAATTTGTTAAAAAAGAAATCATGTGGTTTAGTATTGATGAATCTTAAGTATATAAGATATTTAGAAAGGGCATGAATGGATAATATGAGGAGTGCTGACACAAAAAGCGCCGCTATCTATACATATGCACCGCTTAATATAATGATAAAAGATGTATTATTATTTGCTTGTACACCTATTAGAAGTATTAAATTAATGAATGTTATTAGTTCAGATAAATTATATTCAACAGAATTAATTTTCTCTTATTTTGTAGAAGACTGATTGGGGGCAGTAGGGGGTCTGTAAAAGATGCTTGGACGGCAGTGAAGGATTGCGTAACATTGTGTATACAAAAAACTGTATAATAGTGGGAGATACATGTTGTTAACAATATTTTACAACTGTATAAGCTTAGACTAACACTAACTTTACTGATCTCTACGCTTCCCCAGCAACCTTTATTGTAACTTGCGACTTAATTAAAACTTGGGTCAACTATTTAAACGTAACTCTTCTTGCCTACTATATTTTTTTTTTTTATATTTAATTTTTTTTTTATTGTGTTTTTTCTTATTCTTTTATGGTAGTGCCTGTATTTGAAGTATGTTATTTAAGAGTTAAAGTCTCTTATGTTATAAATACGATGATACATCTAAATTTTTAAAATACTATTTATTTCCTATTTTTATTACATATTTGTACATGTGGTTAGTGTAAGTGAGAGTTAAAAATAACACCACAATTTATTTGTGCAACTTACAATTAGAAAGATGAAAAAAAAACATTTTAACTCACTTTTTTTTCAATTCTTACTTTGAGCTTGTTTGTAAGATGAATATAGCGTCTTTTAAGAGAAGAACGAGCTAATTTTGAAGGCTATTTATTTACAGTTGTTGATTACAACACTTAATTTTGTAATACTGTTTATAGTTTTTTTAGTCAGTATCTCTATTACTGAAGAACAATTCAAAACTTTCAAAAAAATAATTACAAAAGGGATTCTTAATATACTTATTAAAAGAAAAAATTGTTTAACTATTTTTATCACAGAATATTTTACAATTATACAACTTTCAATTTTAGTACTGAAATTTGTACTTGTTATATTGTAGTTAAAAAAAAACCTTTTTTACATTCTACTCAAGTTTAGTTTTGGCTTATGAGGGCAAAAAAACTTTTGCAACTCACTGTAACCCGTAATTGCTAAATATAACAATAATTAGCTACGCTTATCATTGACAACAAGAAAGGTGTAAATAGATGAGTTGCTGGTCTTTTTCTTTTATCATGACTTATTAAAGATACGAATTAATATAAAAAATCGTACGGTTTTGTTATTTATCAATTAGGAGTAAGCCCACTACTTACCAATGTAATACGAATCTGGATAAAGAGAAGTAGCTTTTGGTGATGTATATCTGGGTGAGTCGTGACCAAATTCATCAGAGCCATACTAAAACAAAACAAAAATTTTCCAAATTTTTCATTATTTTAGGAATAAAGATGGTGAAACTTATATAACTAATGAAAAACATGAATTTGATAGTTACTGTCGTATGTATTTTTTATAAGGTTTCAATGAGTGTTATAAAATATAATCTTTCTAGATTTAATGAAAGAAGAATGCTTAATTAGCATAACAACTTACAAGCTAACAATTAGGTGTTAAAAAATGGCTTACTTAAATACTTAAATAATACGTCCAATGACAGTTGGTAAATGATTGAAAACAATGTTTAATGGTGGCACTATCATTGTCATTGTCCCAGAAACCCACACGATCCAGTCGATACTGAAATTTTCTCTTTTACCATCCAATACAACATAAAATAAGTATCATTTACACACTAGTAGACTTTTCTATTGAATAAGCATACACTCAATTTTCTTATGATAATGTAATAGTGAATCACGATACTAGTGCTTCAGGAAGGCGATTGACGCACGCGTGTCACACACCTAACGTCTCGCACATGTGGTGTATAAAACTTTTCGACACATCGTGCACGAGGACCTCAATTGTGAGCCATTTAATGTGGCTCTGCAATGATCTCGACGTACACACGCACTAACACGAGTGCCCAGCACAAGTCGTGAGTTGCGTGTGTAAATCGAGGTCCTTAGAGCCACAACAAATGGTTTATAATCGAGGTTCCCGCGCACGGCGTGCCGAGTAATCAATGAAAAAATTTTTACTAGCTATTAACTATTCTCAGAAATTGATTGATACATTTGTAAATAAAAAAATTAATACCTTAAAAATATCAATATGATTGGCAATCGTGATAGAAATAATTTCAACTATAAACCAATCTTATTATTACGATATGTTCCCCACTAGCACAGTCATCTTAAATATTATTGTAAAAAGCTTCACATTGGTATTGTATAAAGTTTGAATAATAAGTTGAATTCGTAGTTTTCTCTTGGAAAGGATGTAACTGAGCCACTTGATAAAAAAAACCGTTGTTTTTCACATACCATGAGCAAATTGCAACTGCTGTTATGTCGCACGCTATCCTATTATCGCATAGTACTTTTCACAGTAAAAATATTTTCATTGCAAGACAATCGCTTCTCAGTAATGACTACCCGACCTCGTTCATCAGTAAACACATTAAATACCGTACCTATGCTTTATCTGATAAATCTTCTTCCAATTCAGTTTCTCTATATCCTCATATTCATGTCTCAAAACTCTCCCTACCTAGTCTATTTGTTAATAATCAATTTTTTTTTTTTAATGTCATAATAGCATCAGGTCATATAATGCTCGCGTTCTTCCATCGATTCATAAACCTTTTAGTAATATCATCAAATACGTAAAGATAAAACATCTAAGCAGAATATGGCCACAGGTGGTGTCTAATTTCTCTTGTAGCGATTTTCCCGCTAGTTATGTTGGACGAACGAAAAGAGCTTTGGAACATCGTATTAATGAACATTCCAAGGGATATAAAAATGATGAAGTTGTTTCTAAGCATGTAAGAAATTTTAGACACAATTACAACTGGAACTTTGTATTTATATGTGAAAAGAACCAAACTACAAAAAAAAATTGTTATTATAGATGATGATTTATATTAATTTAAATAGAAATACTGCAAATAAACAAGAAGACGTTGATGGGCTTAGTAAAGTATATTCACCTTTGCGGCGAGTTTTGTAAAATATCGGTAGGTGCCGAGCGGTCTGATATCTTTTATTTTTGTGTCGTTGCCAGTCACTGGGCATATGTACAGTCAGACCATTACTCAATGTAGACGTAAAGTTGATAAGAGTGAACTTGTACTCGTACCTTTTACAGTTGACACCAATTTGTCGGTAATGATTTTTAAATAGTGATAACTGTTTATTTATTTCCTTTGTGTTATAAGACCTTTGTATTATATTGCATGTTGTTTTGTGTGTTAATAGTCAATAAATTATTTGGACCTGATGAGGCTGACCAAACCTTAGCCAATGAAACGTTGCCTTATTAAAAGCTAGTAGTGTCTACTAATTTGTCCTCAAGCGATCGTGGATCAATTTCCTTATTTTGATAATTAAAATAACGTCCAATGGTGGTACTGTCAAATTTCGTATTTATTGAAAAACAAGACGATGTTTCGGCCGTTTGGACAATGTCCCGGCCCTCATCAGGTACAAAAATCTATGAGTAATAAAAAATTCTTTACAATAAAAGTTTTGATGAATACAATAAACGCAAATTAAGCAAAGTGTACAATATACCTCTGACTCTTACGAAGGGAATGTAAAATCGTAATGTAGTCAAAGTTTCAAGTTTTGTTGCTTTTATACCGTGCACATATTGAAATGATACAATACACGCACACAATATAATCAAATAAGAATCGTAAGCAGTTCCTTGTGAGAAATTCGTAAACAGATCATGTTTTCCTAATACCATAAATGAAAGGGGCCCTCAAATCATGTACATAGAGTTAGCCTCCTTTCTTAATTGACTTAACGAGAAACTTGTAACAATCTTTCAATTTTTCTGTATCTTGTTGTCTATTAATATTATTATTAAAATAAAGTATATTTAACATTTCGGAAAACAGGTGCTTTTTATGATTTTGTTCTGTGTCTAAAATTTTCATTTTATGAAAATTAAAGTTGTGTGTAAATTTAATGCTATGTTGTCATAGTACAGATGTATCCTTTTTTTTCCTCTATGTCTCTTTTATGTTCTGCCATTCTTAATTTTAAAGTTCTCGATGTTTGACTGATATAAATAAATATATAATTCGCACATGGTATGTGGTAAACGACATAATTTTTATTGAGTGATAATAAAAAGAAAACCAAGTAAATGATTCTAAATAATTTAATTATTAAAAAACAATTTTATTGGTATAATAGTTCACAAAATTGTACACAGGTGTATAAAAGTTGTACTAATCACCATTTAACTCTTATTGACAAACTTTGTATACACATAAACTGAGATTAATAATTTTAAAGCTATAGGTCTTAATTTCACAATCCCTCTCACAAAAAGACTACTTCTTTTTGTCATTTCTTTGTCATTTTCAATACATTTATTTTTTTTATCTCTAGCATTTCTATGAATTTTCCATCAGATATCAGAGTACTTGGAAGCCACCAAAATTATTGTGAAACATTTTGGGTATGCACGACATTAATGTAATATTTTGTTACGTTATCATAGACTGCATTGAACGAAATAAGAAAAATAAAATTTAAATGATTCAAAAGACGAGGCGAATAAATGTAGGTAAATACTAAGTTTAGTAAATAATACAATGATATTGTTACATCCTAAATTAAAATGAATGCAATGTACTATGAAAAAAAGGCAATTCAAGTAGAAGTAAAAATGGCATATCCAGCTTAATTGCATAGCCCAACTTAAGCATCCAAGCCTAGTTATGGATAGATTTATTATACGGTGCAGCTCAGACAGACTTAGTTGAACTTTGTCATTCTGCTGCTAAGTCATTTACATACGTATATTATTGTTTTTCATTTAACTGTACATCTATGTATAATGTAAAAGAACTATTTCATGTCACTGATGGAGTAAACACAAGGAGTTGAAAAAAAGTAGTTTTTAAAGCTTATATTACAGTTGGCATTTTATTAAATAATAATTATAGATAGATGTTATTGATTATAAAGGTACGTCAGTGTAGGCAATACGATATCTTCTAAATTAGTTAGTTACTTCTCCATAATACCTGCACCATGCCCTTGTTCTAAAATTATGCGTATTTGAATGTATACACGTATTGTGTATATACATATACATACACATAACTGTATCATATGATTACTATAGACAAAATTTGGCGATTACTGGGCGAAAATCCTGCCAAGTCAGATCAAGCTGTATCTGAGTCAGTGCCGTATTAAAAACTGACTGGAGCCAAGGTGACAAGCAACAGCCAAACTGGGTGGCATGGCAGATAAGCTTGGCCCACTTTTCAACCACTTTCAATCTCTATTCAGGGAGTTTTAATTGGTCACATTCATGCCAGAAGCAGATGCGTATGTACAGAAGCCCATAGAGCAAATAAGCACGCTACTATACACATATTTTTATGTTATATAATTGTTAAGGTAGGTTTGTCACTCTACTCTATTGCTTTCCTCACTTCACCACCCCCCAAAATAAAGAAAAATTTGATTCTTATTACTAATATTGTTATGTGACATAAAGTATCAGAAAAGCACCGAGCCCTCCTGGCCCTTGCACTGTTATGAAAGTCCCTTCCAACTTTAAAGTAACCTCCCACAAAATAAGGAAAAATTTCCTAGATTTTTTCCCTATTTGACTCAATAAAACTCACCATATTTTTGTGACCTAACTCCCCTCCACACCTTTTTTGAAACATATGCCACCATTTCATTTCCCTAAGTTTTTAAAATGTTTAATAGGTGGCTCCGTTATTTCAATCTTATAAAATTGTTCCATAAGTCTTTTACCCTAGTCTGTATGATTAATGCATAAAAGCATTTATGTTTTCAGGAGTTTACACTAATGAATTATTTTTATATTTCATAATTCACAGGTATTCGTATGACATTATGCATTTTACTTATCACAAATTAAGGTATTTTGTAATAAACTAAACTTTTTACATTTAATAAACCTTAAAATATCTTAATGCAATATTTGGCCTACTTGTTTACAAGAGGAGGCCAAGTACCGTCTTAAATCGTGCTTAATATCTAAATATTTTGAATTGTCGTTTCCTGATGAGCAAACGTTTCTTCGACTAGTTATTTGCATTTCCTGTCACAAAGTTTTTTTAACGATTTGTTTTGTCAGACAAAAAAAATTTTTTTTTCTTAGGCACGGTGCTATAAAACCAAGACTGCACTTTGCGCTCTGTTATTACTTTGCTCTCACTGGCGGGAATGATAATTCTGACCATGTGAGGCCCAAAGTTTATTTTCACCTTAGGGTGCACTGTAACTGATAGG